CCATAATACAATTTTATTTTGTAGTCCAACTTGAAAAACATAAAACTTAAATACAAATGTAGTTAAATTAACTTAAAAAAGGATCGATTATATTTTTTTCAATTTTTTTATTAACGAATCACAAAACTAATATATGGTTTAAAATTATACATTTTATAACCATTTATAAAAGGATAAACTCTCATATATTAGAATAATATCCTCAATTAATAATTATAAAATAAACAATTCATATGTATAGATTACAAAACAACAATCTCTAACAAATAAATTTTGTTGTCTAAATAATTAAACATTAAGGGCCATTCTTGTACTTTAATCAAGAAAATATTAAGACTTAGAGGAGCGCGCTATAATATCTGAAAAAAAAAAGAAAAGAAAAAGAAAAACAGAGTTTCGGCGGGTTTTAAAAGTTTGCGCCATTCACAATTCGTGCCCCCAAACCCTTTCATCTCCCCCAGACCCTTCGTCTCCCCATTTCCATCTTCCCGCTCCTATCCTCCCAAACACCCTCACCGATTCAGATCCAGACGTCTCCTCACCAGTGTGATCCACAGAGCTCACCACGATTTATCCATTTTCGTCGTCGTTGAGCTCATCCGAAAACCACTGCCGTTGAGCTACTGGAAAGCCATTAATTGTTCTTCCACCATTTGATACTACCGTAGGGTACAGACGTGATCGGAGATCTGTGTCAGCGTCAGAGTAGCCATTGTAGCTTTGAGCCATCTCTAAATCACCTCTACCTCAGCCGTCAGTACAAACTACGCTGCTGCAAAACCGCCATCTGCACTACAGGTGACTTTCACATTTTTATCCCATTTTTTTTATAAACTCTTGATCTGATTGATATGGCTGGTGGTGTGTATATTTATTTTGGTTTTAAAATAAGGGCATACAACCACTGTTTGTTTGTCAATCGAGTGAACTTTAGGGAATAATTTTGCCTTGCACCTGGTTTGAATAAAAGGAAATTAGAAGAGCAAAATTAAATGTATAATTCAGCATCAGAACAGAATTTTAATTTGCTTCAATTGTCTCCTCTGTATGATCCGTATACTTTTCACCACTGTGCATTGCATTATAGGTATTTTATATCTGGATGCTTAGTTATTTTTTCCTTTTTAAGTCATAAAAGTGTTAAAAATGGTAATAGATGATGTTGAGTTGGATAATGCCTTGGATCTTTAAGGAAAATTACTGCACCTAGCTTGCAAACTCAGTTCTCTATTTGTTCATATTCACCATCTTGCTTATGAATGTTGAGGCATTTTCACATTTTGGTAGGAAACGGAAAAAATAAAATAAAGTCTTAACACTTTCACATATTTGCACTTTAGCCCCTGAACTTTCTAAATGTGCACACATTGATCCTTTTATTTTAATAAATCTTATCAGGGACATTTGAAACTTGAAACACAACGTTAACTAATGCCAAGTTGCGTTTTGATTGGCGTTTGCTTGGTCTGCTACCATTTTCTTTTCAATATTCTTGTTTGTTTGTTCTGTATGGTTGCCCTGTGCTGAGCTTCTATTGAAGTTTTTTTTTTCTTCTTTTTCTTTTTTCTTTTTTTTTTCTAGATATAAAACCAAATATATACCCTTTTTTGCAGAATGTTTGAGTTTTTACCAGAAGGACGATTTTTGACTGATTTTGAAGTGGATGACCATCTCCTTGGTAATTAAAGGCTTTTTGCTTTATTTTCTATGCAAAATATTATTACAATAAATTTATTAATACTTTCTTTGAATATAGGTTCTGGAGGATTTGGTTGTGTTTACAAGTGTAAGCACAAGCTGGATTTACAGAACTATGCAGTCAAGGTAGTCAAAATTCTGAAAAAGACTAAAAAGAAGATACTAAGGTAAAAAAAAAATATTAGAATCAGTTAGTTCAACTTTTAATGTAATACATTTTGTACAGATTAACTGATATTTGATTCATGATTTGTAGGGAGGCACAGTTCCTAGCTTCTGTTGAGCATCAGAGCATTGTTCGTTATTATCAGGTATTAACTCAATTCTCTTCTACAACCCTTGAGATTTTCATTCTGATTATCTACTCTTGTTAAAAAGTTTGAGATAAACATCCATCCTGGCTTAACATTGATTTCCCCTACTAGAGTTTTGTTTTTGGTTTATCTTTGCTTGTTAACTAATCATGTGTTGAAGCCAAGATTTGGAAATTCATTGTTGCCTAAGAAGGATTCAGAT